AGTTGGAGAGGGGCAAGTTTCCCCGCTATTCCCCCCCCCCCCCCCCGCCCCCCGTTCCCGCGTCCTTACGGAAAGGATGCAGGTCTGATTGTCCCCTGGGAAAACAGCTGGCTTCCAGGGCTAGAAATCGACCTGATTAACTAACTAGCCGGACTTGAACAGCCATATAACAGGGCGAGCGCAATGCCAGTACCTGCTGGCGTCAGCAAGGGCGTCCTTCAGTGGATAAACGTCGGAGGCGGTCCTGGTCAAATTGTCGCGCCGGCAAAACACTTAGGCCGGGCGAATCGTCCGAGGGCTGGGAGGGGCCGCTGTCGCCCGAGTGACGTCATCATGACGGAGCTGCTATCGAATCGATGCCGGCCGCCGACCCGCGACGGCACTGCGTGGGCATGGCCACGTGTCCGTGACGTGGGCCGCACCACGTGCGGGCGGCGTGGAGGGTGTCGCGTGTGTCTCGTGGAAATCATCGGGAGGTCAGAGAGGCTGTGCAGAGGCAACTGTAAATCCCGCGTGTCAACAGAACTGGGCAGCGGTACGTGGCGTGGGCATACAGTACAGGAGGGCGCGACCTCAGTCTTACGACGGATGCCGGCCTCCTTGGGGTATGGCATGGTCCTGGTACGTCCTGGGGGAAGCTCAGTGTCTGCCCTTGGTCAGCCTACTCGTGGATCAAGCCATCCCAAGGCGGTAGACTATCAGAGACTAGATCTTTTTTTTTGGATTATGTCCAATGGGCTTTCTTACCATGGCGCCACAAAAAAAACATGAAAACTCTGTCACACGTTGGACAGCCCGGCCCTTTAGGAACTTTAAACTACGCTGAAATGGATGACATGAAAAATATATTAAATTTATATCCGTCGCTAACAGTATTCCAGTTCCCGCCAGTCCTGGTCAGAACACACGTCGCTAATAAGCGAGGATGGCTCCGATGATGAAGGCCCTGTGTGCGGACCTAAGCGCGCAACACCTCAGGACTGCCGGCCTTCCCCGCGCGCCTTGACACGAATCGGTGAGCTCGCACGCTCGGCCAGAGTGGCGCAGACTCGGCGCAGTCGACAGAAGCGGCGCGGCGACACTGGTGGCGCGCGGCGGCACCGGCACCAGCCGTGACGCCCGCCCGCCCGCCTACCGCCCCGCGTCCTTGTTTGCGCCGCGCCTCTCGGACCGGCGTCTGTTTGATCGCACGCGATGCATTGTTTGTGCGCGCCGCCTGCCGCCCCAGACGCGCCATTGTTTGTCAGCAGACGGTGACCTACTGCACCTGTCCGCGGGCCCGGCCGAGGTCAGGCACTCTGTCGGCTCGGCAGACGGTGACCTACTGCACCTGTCCGCGGGCCCGGCCGAGGTCAGGCACTCTGTCGGCTCGGCAGACGGTGACCTACTGCACCTGTCCGCGGGCCCGGCCGAGGTCAGGCACTCTGTCGGCTCGCAGAGGTGACCTACTTCACCTGCCCGCGGGCCTGGCCGAGGTCAGGCACTCTGTCGGCTCAGCAGAAGGTGACCTACTTCACCTGCCCGCGGGCCGGCCGAGGTCAGGCACTCTGTCGGCTCGGCAGACGGTGACCTACTGCACCTGTCCGCGGGCCCGGCCGAGGTCAGGCACTCTGTCGGCTCGGCAGACGAGGCCACAGGACCAAACAAACCAGCTCCGCACGCAGTGCGCCCCGCAGCCGGTCAACTAGTGGTGGCCAAACCTCCGGTCGCACCCACGTGCTTTTGTGATGAAATTGGGGGGCAAAGCTGAAGACGTCAAGGGCTTGCTAAGATTTTTAATGCTTGATACCGTTGGAGTCCATCATAACTCAATTCCATTTCCTGTGTGTCTAATGACGTCGTCTCGGTGATCGGGCACACATCGGTAGCACATCTCGATCCCTATTTGCCACACACCAGTATAATAACCTGACACATCTGGAGTGTGCACTATTCATGCTACATCACCTGTGTGTCTCTTGGCAAGCGGCTACTGAATCATATAGATAGGTGATGGTGAATCCCCTCATCGGAAGATGTATCAAGGGCACAGTACAATGCTGTGTATTTCAGATTAGCATGACATCACTGCCACTTATCTACCAGAAACAAAAACATCCGTCTGCGCCGACCAACACGGGTGGTTCAAGAATTTCGTTAAGGGAGCAGCCACGCTTCGTTGTGGTGTCCCCCGGAACTTGGCGCCCCGCTCACAAAGAAGTCCCTGGATTTTGGCCGCTTTATTTTCAGATCTCATTTTTGAATGGGTAAAATACCTTCCGCCGGAATGGGCCGCCGGATTTAGTTTTCTTCATTGGTAGAGGTAGATTTTCTGCTATTTTGTACGTTGAATTTTAATATTTGGGACGGTTGGGGGTGCCCCTGAACTTTGGAGCGTCTTGAAAAAGGAGCAATGAGGTTTTTGATGCCCCCTCACCACGAAATGTTCGTGCCCATTCGGCGCCAAAATATCGTGAATGCAATGTATGCAAAAAAAGGAGCGAACCGTCACCCCTGCCCAGCGCACCCCCTATTCCATCCATTGTACAGGGTTCGTTCGGTTTGCTGCTGACCGATTTTAGCGGCCAGCCTCAGTCAGCTGGCGCCGGCGGCCGACATCTGGCAGGCCTTTTTGTCGGATCCCGCGCTGCCATGGCCGCTGCGCGACTCCCAAATGGTCTGGCCATCCTTGGCCCAAAGGCAGACTGGCCGAAACCCGCCACGTCTGGTCCGGCGACGAAACTGATCTCGTGCAGCACCATAGCAAGCTGTCTTACCCTCTGTCTCCAGCGAAGCGATTTTTGCCGGAGTTGTAGATGGACAGATGTGACCTTTTCTTTTTCACCCACGTTTTTTTTGCTACATTGTAAAAACATTACTACGGCGTGCGGTACAGCAAAACAGCAAAAAGAGATCAGGTGGAAAACAGGCATACAGACAGGGTTACATCAATTATGGACGATGCTAACAGCAGGCTTATGCTAGTTATAATTAACTCGGCCTTACTTTCCCCTCCCCCCCCCCAAAAAAAAAATCAGGTCAAACACGTGGAACGCTTTGGCATGCTTCCCTGATTCTATTCTTGCTGAGAGTTTTATCTGCGCTGTCGCAATTCCACACAATTTTAGCCTTTTGGTCGGCCTTGTGGAAGACGATTACGCGGTAATGCCACTTCTATATTTTACCGTATTTCAAAATATTAAGGTTGTAAAGC